TCTGATAAAGTTGAATAAACTATATACGATTTGAATATTTACTCCGATAAGTGAATGTATGTCGAGACCTTAATTAGATATAGCTTCTCTCTGAGCCGATTATTCAATAAGATTGATTCAATGATATCATTGAATGTATGTGTAAAATTATCAATAAGAATGTGGAATTATCAATACTTTAAGGACGTGCCAACTTAGGGGAATACTTGTTAGCCAAAAAACACTATATAAGGTAGCAAATGCTAATAACAAAAAAATGTTCATCAAGTCTAAACACAGGTATACATGTTTCAAGTTTGGTTTGCATGACCAGTTAAGGCGGCGTAAATGGCTAATGTATGCGAAAATTAAGTGTACGTATCAATGGGCGGGAGAGAGGAGCAGAGAAACGTCGAGTTTGCCTGGGCGGCATTAAACTACGATCCCTAGGTCCACGTGGCTTGACTGTTTTGGAGCGTATAAATGCCATATACAATAGAAAATTGAATGGCTATGAGTTAGATATTCATTTAATTGATCCTGGACAGAATGGTCAAGGTGTACATTCATCAAGTCAACTACAACACTTGTTGACGAACACTATTGCTTGTCAGATAACTTTATTCGGAGATCAAACAGTTGTTAATGCGGGACCGCCTCAGAATGGGCCTACATTTTTGGAATGGGCTCGAACACAAAACTATCGAAAAATTGGTTACGGACAATATTGTAAGATGAGTGATGAATCTGAAACCGGAACAGTCATCGGAGAAAATGAGTATTTACCCCGTGCACTACTTGGAGAATATTTAACGTGGGTCTACGAGTATCTAGTGTCACATATACGTGCTGGAGTTCATGTATATCGTCATAAAGAATCGGTTAGTGAACTTTGCCGCGTTAGTAATAATCTCTTTAAACTTACGTTAACTAGCGGACAATGTTTAATGGCCGATTGTGCCATTTTAACCACTGGTCATGGACAAAATACAAAGGATTCTATAGAAATGGACTATCTTAAGTTTGTAAACGAGAACAAGAACAGTAATCCACATTTACAATATTTACGTTGTTATCCCTTGAAACAACTCAAACAAATTGATAAGAATGCTGTGGTTGTCATTCAAGGAATGGGTCTTTCTGCTCTCGACGTGCTTGCTGAATTGACATGTGGTCGTGGTGGAAAATTTATTGAGAATAAAAACGGCGAATTGTCTTATCTTCCATCAGGATTTGAACCGAAAACTTACATTTTTTCCCGTAGTAGTCTTCCACTTAGTGCTCGAGGAAACAATCAAAAAGGAATCGGTGCAAAATATAGGCCGCGTTTTTTCAATCGTCGAAACATTAATCGTTTGATCAAAAATGCCTGTATGAAACGCGGATCACCTCAGCTTGATTTCGAGCAAGAACTGATGCCAATCTTAATTCGTGAAATGTGTTACGTTTACGAGTCAACGTTGAATGGACAATGGTTGGAGACAAACAAGTTTAAAGCAGACGAGAAAACACATAAAATAATTCATCACATACTTAACCCACTAGCTACCACGAGGAAATTCAATGATACGAATTCATTCACAGATTGGATTGTCGATTTTGTTAAAGATGATCTTAAACATGCGGAACAAGGAAATATTTCTAGCCCGATAAAAGCTGCCACTGATCTAATTCGTGATATTCGAGATAATCTTCGTTATGCAATCGATAATAGAGGATTGACACCCGAATCCCATAAACATTTTCTACAAAATTTCTGTCCAATAATGAACAGGGTCGCTGTTGGACCGCCAAAAGAAAAGAATCAAGAATTACTGGCCCTGGTGAGAGCCGGTATCGTGCACTTGGCATATATACCCGATCCACAGGTAATATGTACAAAAACCACGGCAAGTTTTATGGTACAAAG